GAAAAAGCAAAAGCAAAACTAACCAGACTGAAGATTGTGTGAGGTTCAGAATCTCCTCGATTAGGGATAGGTGATCATTCCTATGTCGCACATATTTTGTAGCTATGCTAAAGTTTGCTTCCATGGAATCAATAAGAACTTATAAATAAATTACAGAATCCGTGAAAAAAAATAAGTATAAATGGGTGTGGGAAAATATGTCGCATGTCCGATATGGCCCGCAAGGATATAGTCTCCGCGTTGTCGTCAATGTGTACTTGGAATAGTATAGCTCCAGGGCCAGAAAAAGGTGCACGCGCTCAATACACGCAGTCTTTTTCAATAAGCAAAAGTAACTTCTATTGCTTAACAGCAACATTTCGATTTCTCAGTAGTCCGTCTATCACGGAGTGATAGTGAAGAAACACCAGTGATAAGTATAGCTACTAGAACGATCCACCATGGTTGAGGTATGGCTCATTCTTTCACTAGTAAACTCGTTAAGCAGCAATTCTTGTCAACTTTGAATGAATACTCAGAGTGAGGACCGGTGAGTGGAAATGCCTTCGAAGGGAACATTGATTCCTTCTAGAAATTAGCTTTCAAAGAATATAAAGCACCTCAGCATACTATTTCTTAGTGCTATTCATTTTTGTAACAAAAATAGGATTCAGGAAATACAATCAGAATGAATGAAAAGACTAAGCACAGGAACAAACTATTTAAATTGCTACGAAGATTCAAGAAGAACAGAAGTCAATATAGAAACGTCAAAGGTATGACCTACCCACGGCAATGCCAATCAAATAGCCAAGGAATCATGATTTTTGCTTGAGGAAAAGTCCGAAAAAACAGAAACAGATGAGAAAAAAGAAACAGTGACAGAGCGAAGTCCGCCCGAGAAGAAAATCAAAAAGATTCAGAAAAAATACGGTATGAAAACTTACGTAAGCACAAGTCTCAAGGAAAAAAGTCTGAATCTAGTCTTTTCAGGAAAGGCACCAGAAGCGGTGAGTATCAACTTTTGAAGGTTCAGCCTTGTAATAGGGACACTAATTTTCGTAATTTCAGTCTATTGAGCAGACCAAAGATGATGCAGAAGCGTTTGAAAACGTGAACGCACAAGTCCGACCTGCTCAACCGAAAATGAGGACAACCACTTTGAGGTGGGCAGCTGCTACCATTAACACGGTCGAAAGAACGAGTCCCAGTCATTCCCACTGGCAAAATTATCCCATGAGTATTAGAAAAGGGTGGACTGGAGAGGACTGATCCATCACTCCCGAAACTGACGCATGATTGATTGCTCTGATCAAAAATAGGCTCCAATCAATGTTAGGTCGAGACGCAACACTTCAAGAGTTTCCGAAAAAGAATGTGTACGTTTCGGCATTCACGTCGTTGGGGGGGGGGGGGGGGGGGGAACACTCAAGTGAATGACCCAATTACTGCGCTTGGGACTAACCACAAGGCTAGGGATGAGAGGGGGTTTCAGGGGAGGGTTAACAGTTTGTGCTTCCCCCGGGTTTTCTCCCCTCTCCTGGATCAGCCCTAGTGTTACCTACCATCGGCCCTAATGTGAATATCCCCCCTAATGACAGGAGCGCCTGCGTATCACTCAGAGCATATGGCAGCGTTCAGAGTTTGCGATTAGGCGATCGCGAGCGTGAGGAGTAAACGAATCGATACGTATCCTTTTCTCATCGCCTACTTGCTTGCACGACTAATCGTCTAATCCCATGGCCGATCGCCAACTCCGAGCGCTGGCTCAGCAACTCGGAAACGTGACGATAGATGAATTCAAGTGAGGCGAAAAGGACCAAGCACAAATGTATTACAATGAAACAAGTCTCCGAGCGTTTTTGGATATTGGGCGAAAAGAGCGGGTCGACTTCGTGAGCCCCACCGTTTTCGCGTTTCAGGAGAGTCCGCGATTCTCCGACTTGACTAACCGGTTCGCACTCACTGGTTTCCACCGAAATCAGAAACCTATGCGTGTTTTTACGGGGCCTCACGTCACTTTCTTAGTTCGCCTCTTCGTCTGCGAAACGCTTCTTGGGTGCGGTAAGGGAGCGATACAAAAATCACTGCTAGCAGAGCTAGGATATAAGTTTTTCTTGCAGTATCAGCCTGAAACGTATGGGGTGGTTGTGACCACACTGGGCGTATTGGATACCCACTCGCGATTACTCAATGTTGGTAGGATCACCCATGTAAACCGCGGTGGCTGCTTACTGTGATAACCGCGCCCTTAGGTAGGAAAAGGGAAGTTTACCACCCTTCGTCGGGAAAAGAAACCGCTCCATGTATAATTGAGAGGGAAATGTATTCTGTATGGGAGATTGATCATAATGCTCTGCGCTCATGTCGTTAGGGAGGTTATCAGGTGAATTCAAGGCCACTTGAAGAACTTACGGAAGCTAATAAAGAAGGCAAACAAGAAGCCTCAGGAACGGGAAGGGAATTCGGGAGATCCTTGAGGCAATCCTTGTGTTTCGACTAGTGGGTTCCTCCTCTCTCTGGCTGTATTCTCAGTGTCACCGACAAACAGTTTTTTTGAATGCCCAGTTTTGAAGTCCCTCCTAAATACATGAGCGTCCATTGTTCCACTCTGTAGCAGTGTTTTTGGTTCCTTAAAGCACAAACTACGCTTTTTCAGATGGAAAACTGGAGAAGATACAGAAACGTGGGCACCACTCACCATACACTGAATGAATCACGAAAAAATGCCCTTTGTTTTTCAGGATAGAAGGGTCCGCAAAAGAGAGCGAACATCAGGTGAAAGCGTCACAGGAGGCAGTTCCTCCCCACGTTCAGCCGTTAAAACTGCATCCCACTCTTCAGTGAGGAAATACCCCTTTTAAAGAAGAACTGGTAAAGGGCGCCATCGCAAGGTATGCGGTCATAGCGGTGCGAATAGTAACATCAATGGAACAGCGTAAACGACATCTCGCTCTGTAAAATTGGGACTAAGCTCCTCAAGGCGGAAGAGGCCCAGAGCTTCCAAGGCGCGTGAGGAATTTCATTTCCCCCGAAGTTTCTGCCCCTGGGCTTGGTCATAGAGGATGCTCTCGTATCTTGCGATAGCGCCTAGTAAGATCATATTGAAGAACGGAACGTAATTCTAAACTTTCTAGTCTTCTGAGGGGAAAGTCCAAACTGCTGATCTCGTCACTGCCATAAGAGTGAGTGGATAGACAAATCGTTGAAGATAAAGAAAATAATAAGGAAATTTGTATCGACCAATTTTAGCAAAAGAGTGAGAAAGAACGGACTCTCGCTGCTGACATTCCCATTCTTCTGAAGCGTATATCCGAACTGGAAACCGCTCAGAGCAAACACCTGAAGATTCAAAAGCGGCTGAGACTGAGAATTCGCGACAGAGAACGGGTAGGAGATACCGGTCTTCGGAAGAACTAGTAAAAACATAAGAATGTTCCTATTCAGACAATTAAAGAGCTTGAATGAGGCGTTAAATGCTCCACAACCAGCGGTGAAGATGCTCGACGATGAAGAGAAACATGTACGTCTCCTCTGTCGTAGACTACGGCTTAAAGCTACAAGTCCCAAGAGCCAGTCCTTTTTAGAGTAAGTAAGAGGGTTCCCCACGAGCAGGAGGCGCGACACTGTCGCGACACAAAAAAGCGAGACAGCGGCGCTAGGCCTTGCTGTGTGCTGTCCTGCGGAGTGCGTTGCTGTTTTCCTCCTCAGGTCAAGTCACCCAAAATCGAGGCGCCACTCACTTGCTCGAACCAATTTTAGGACGAAGCAAAGGCACCATCACAGGCGTAAGCACAAGCCAATGTGTATGTCTAATCGTAAGCCTAAGCCCTAAAATTCAAAGTTAAACCTCAAGGTTTAGAATGATGCAACAGCTCTAGTGCGAGCTAACGGCGCAAAGGCATTGAACTCGCCGCGCTGCCGTGCTGCCAGCGTATCAACCACGGCACACGTGGTCTCTGCGTCCTCTCGCGTACGACGTACTATCTCGCGTTCTCCCTCTCCTCGCAGCGCTGTGTCTCTCCATCATACCACGGGTCTCTCATAAGCGAATAGTGAAAACCCTAAATTGAAAACTCCTTTTTATTCTACTGACTCGCTCCAGCTTGTGAATTCTAAGCGCAGTTTAGCTTGCCCCCGCCCTCTCAAATGCTTTTTGCTTTTTCCCATTGATAATCCTCATTGCACTCATCGTCTAATTTTCCAACAAAATAACGCAATTCGAGATCCCGACTCGTGCCTTCAAGACTCGCCCTAACAAGTTCTAATACGAGATTCATGCATCAGTTTAGGAGATCCTATCTACTGAGCTCGCTCCAGCTCGTGAATTCTAGCACATGTTAGCTTGCCGCCCTCTCAAACCACAATTTATTTCGTGCATGGATTATTATGGGAAAAGATGTGGAGATAACCTTTGAAGAGTTCTCTACAAAATGCCGAATAAGAAACAATCTAGTAGCAAAAACTCAAGAAAATCCTGCGCTCTATGAGTGATGCGATATTTATGTTAATGCTCCATCAACCTCAGCAAACAGAGCCATAATTCATGCAGGGTCTGTTTATCAGCACCGGCCAATCTGCTCGGATAAAAACAATAATTTGTACTGCCCGCAAGTCACTGTAAGTTGAAGCAGACACCGAAATGCTCGCTGCGACTGTAAACGAGGCATGCAGAATGCATGGCTCATCCGAAGAGAGATTGATCTGAGCCGAATGATTCGCTAACTCAGCAGGTCCAGCTTTGGCACGTCTCGAACCAAGCTATGTTTCTGTTCTCCATCCCGATGCATCGATCCTTTACTGTCGAATTAGCACTGACTGCTGTGAACTGCATACGTATCGGGGCTTTACTGCATGTTCAGAGATCATTCGGTGCTGAATCGCTGGACCTCGAATTGGTTTCTCCTATTTGTGTAGAAAACATACTATTTCAGTCAGAACATGAGGAGAAAATTGCGAAGAGAGCTTTGGAAGGTATGCGTAAAGAACAGCTACTTGAAAGGGCGGTCACATTCAGAGAGATGAAGCTGTTATGTAAATTCTTCCACGCACCGGAAACAAAGCCCGATAAAAGGGTAAGCAAGGGCACGGTAAAAGAAGCCGCCTGTAGTAGCGCACTCATTGGGTCTCACTTAATTGGGTGTCTGTTAAGGTCGTGAGGATAATTGACAAAGCACTTGGCTTTGCAATCGACGAACTGCTGAAGCGCCCTCAGCCCGCCGATGCTCTTGTGGACAACGAGATGCGGCTTTTTCTCCTGGAGAAGGTTAAGGTGCATAAGTTCTGACTGATTAATAAAATTAGTAAGGCTCCCAACCTAGAAATGTAGATTACCCGGGGTCACATTCTGACCTAACGCCCTCTTGTAGGCTGCACTGTGACGTGCTCCTTTGTTGCCGACGTCAGACTTTGCGAATCGCGCGATTCGCAAAGTCTGACGTCAATAGAGTAGAGCCCCATTCCTGACGGTCACCTCTACTCACATCAGTGTTTTGCAGGCAAAAACGAATTCTCCTCGCTGTCATGCTGCAGTATCCAGAATATATTCCTGAATGCTGGGGAGGTGAGGCAGCCCGTCGTTCACAGAAATCTCCAGCTGCGTTAAGCACCGATAGGACGGATAGGACGGAAACTGAGAGCGAGAAGACGATTCTGCAGACGACTAGACAGGTTCTCGGCGTACATCTTGACACGCAATCGAAAGCACCAGACGAATGTTCTGTCGAAGTGGAAGTGCCGTCGATGCGGAAGACTGAAGAGGCAAGTTCTGCTACTTCTATCTATACTAATTTCAGGAACTTTTTGGATAGAGAAAGAGGGCATTTGGTGCGATTAATGTCGCCTACACTAATCCCATTTTCGCAGGAGAAAACTTCGGAGTGGGTGTGAAGGCAGAGGCGAAATGGTTAACACGCCCCTAGGCCCCCTTTCCCCCCTACCGCTCAGGTGTCTCAAGTGTAGATCTTCACGAAACTTATCTTGCAAATGCAACTCCTTTGTTCAGATAGATCTTACAGCAACAACCCTAGATCAAATTAGTGGGGTAACAGCGGTCGATAATAAATTCGTGAATGCTGAAAATGGAAAAAGAAGCAAAACAAACCGCCGAAGAAGACCTCCAACAGGCACTCGCTCTATTTCCCTCTACCTCTCGGAAAATGAAAAGGTGCGGAAATTTATGGACAAGTGTCTAATTTTCTACTCAATTGGGTCACTACAACCGCGATTATTTGAGTTAGCCGCTGCATCGTCTTCCACGTCGTGTACAATGGGCGCGCTCGAGATATCTCGTCCATTAGCGCATGTTTCACGTTAGCTCACTTGTAGGGATTTGGAGCCATTGTGGCGCACTTTCGATCCGCGACAACGGCACAACTGTGATACTCACGGGGCTACTGTGTCCTACTCACAGAATAAACTGTTGCGAGCAGAACCCTCATCCAGAGCCATTTACTGGAACCATTTTTATAAGAAGTCGGAACCGCGTGAAAACAAGAAGGAGAGCCACGACGTAAAAGGAGTAAACCAGAGAGAGAACACCACTGACTTCCTATGAAGAACGAAGAAAATCTTAAAGTTATAACAATTTTGACTAAACGCGCCATGTTCTTTTATTACTTTTTAAATAAAACTTTTTTTTTAAAGATGGATTGACCGAATATTGACGATGGATCAGTAACTGCTATGCGTTGCCAGCCATTCTTCTCGATGCCCAAAATTGAGCGATTACAATGGATTTATTTACAAACATGTCTCGCTTTCGACGAAATTATACGTACAGAAAAAATAACGAAGAGAGAGCCACTGAGATGACAACGGGTTGCTTGAGGGACACCTGAATCGTAGAGAAATCCGAATGTAGAGGTCTCCAGAACACGAGGTAGTGTACAGCAGCACGAATCTGGAAAAAAAAGTACTGAGACATCAGACGGAGAGAAGCAGCACGTCTGTGAATTCCTGTGGCTCCATGCTTTGGAAACAGAGGCGAACTTATTCTTCAACTAAGACTCATTCTTTATACGAATAAGTGAAACTGCCGCCATCCAATATCAGTGAGACAACGGTAATGATGACGTGATTCAAAACTGCGTTCAAAATTATAACCTTCAAGCTGAATTTAAAGGCCATTTGCAATGGAAAACTGTTCATTTCCCGCCGCGTATTTATGTGTGTTGGTCCTGAATAACACATGGCATGAGTTCCTTTGCTGCAAAAAAATGCCAGTGAGAACGGCTCATGGAAAAAGGTCGATGTGTCACTGCTTATAAAGGCTGCGAAGCTTAACGGAATAGCGAGAAACGGAGCAGTCGTAGGTGCTGCCATTTGAAAGGTTTTGGAGATAACGCGGAGCTCGTTCACGATTCTACATTCAAAACGTTACACCTTGTAGATCCACGGCAAACATCCACGACATTTGAACAGCAGAAGACCAAAATATTTCTCAACCCACTCCGGAACTCGAATTTTCTTCCATCAAAACGTACGTTAATCACTTTTCTAATGAAGTGCGGGACCTTAATGCACTGATTTTTGGTGAAAATTGAGGCAGACAGAACGCAATGCCCTTAATGGCATAGTGTCAAAGGGGCGTACCCCGCCAACCGCGCCAAGAGTGAGCCATGCTAGATCGCCGAGGTCAAATCTTTCGCTGCCAATTGCGCGTCGGTCAGCACCCTCAGGAGGTCCGCCTGTCTCCCAACTATGCAATTTTCCCCTTCTTTGACCTTCGTTCTTATCGTGAATTCCTATTTTAAACACAGATCGCCAAACGATGAGAGCATTTGTCTGAAGCTCAGAATAAGAAAATCAACGTAAAGCTATTCCAGCTCAACGACCACATGCGCAGACGACAAAATGTAACGCTGAATTCCACCGGAGAGTTATCCAGATGTTCTATAAGCTCTGTGTCAATGTGACAGAATCAGTGACGACAGCTGCCATTGAAGAACATCAGGACGCCAGGCGTGAAATCACCATTTCAAAACGATCAGTGGACAACCGTACAAGCGGTTCACGAGTCTTTGATGCAGGGATAAAAAAAAACTAAAGAAACAAAATCAATGTCAGCCATGCACAAGTAAAAGAAGCTCGTCCAACACTAAACAGTTGAGTAACGTTACTGAAACTGTGAGCACACAAACAGCCGATGGGCAGCCAAAACCAGCCGGCTGCAGATGCTCTCACCAAAGTGGCTCCCATCACATGCAACTAACTTCAAGTGTGTCAACTCAAAGAAAAATGTTCATATGACGAGAAGAAACATGAGAAAAAAACAGAAAGGTTGATCCGCCGTCTTTCCAATCACAGATTTTTTTGTCCGTACCGAATCCTATCAATCGAGTAGGGAACGAAATCGAAGAAAAGAGGTGAGAACCACTAATCAACCGAACAAAAAACTTTTGTAGAAAGAGCTGTAACAAAAATGAAGAAAAAGCAATGAAGATGAAAAGGTGACTGAAAAAAAAAACTGAAAAACTAAGTCCAAGAAATTCCAGCCACCTCACCAAAACAAGAAAGAGCACGCGCTGGCACAAACAAGGAAAGTTCCACAGGTTATGTGTAGCCTCTGTACTTCCACATTTGCAATTAAAAGCGTGAGAACTCGTTAATTCCTCCGCAAACAGAAATGGATCGTGGAGAACAGAAAGAACAAAAGGAACATCTCGAAAAAATGGGTAATAATGGATAAGAAAAACTAGTCAGAGGATTTCTAAGCATACAATTGAGCTATCCAATGGCACTAGTAGCTCAATTTATTTCTTATCTCTTCGTCACTTAAACCTAAACACAAAGCATTCCACAGGTTTAAGTGGACATCATATGTCATAGATCTCTTTCACGATATGCTATCTGTTGCCCCTACTCTTCCTCTTATTTCCTGCATCTATTTCATCATGTTTCACAATTCCTAGGAGGAGGAAGAAATATGTGAA